TGCTGATAAACAGGATTGCCGCAGCATCTATTCCTGTCCTGTGTACAAGACCTGTCAGCGGGGACCCACCTATGTATGGACTTTCAACCTGAAGACTAAGGAGAACCCATCCAAGTGGGTTCTAGCTGGGGTAGCCTTGCTTCTCCAAATTTAGTTTCCTACGGAGCCTCTGACAAAACAAGGGGCTGGGCTGGAGGCTGCCTAGGGGGACAGTTGGTAAGGGATAACTACAAACACTTAGATTAAAAAAATCATGAGCACCAATCATTCTGTAGAATTCCTCTAAAAAACTCAGAGAGGAGACTAAATTGAGGCTGAACTGGAGGAGCATGGGTCCAGGAATGAGGGGAGAATTTTACAGTACTAATCTTTTCTAATAAAGTGATTTACTCTTCCACTGTGTCTGGCCCAGGCTTTGAGAGTTGCTGAGTCATAAATGAGCCTTGACCTTGATACACAGCACCATCCTCAATGTTTTAATCCCAGCCACTCCCTGTCCCTGCAATCCTTGGACCAGCAGCCTTGGCATCACCCAGGAATCAGAATCTCTATCTAACAAGCTCTCCAAGTGACTATGTGCACATTACAACTTTAAAAAATACTCCGGGCCAGCAAGTGGCATGGTGGTTAAGGCACTGAATTCCCACATAGCTGACTAGTTTGAGTCCCAGATCTGGCAGCTTGAAAATCACACGAGGTGCACGAGTGTGTGTGTGTGCGTGTGCGCACACGCACACCAGGATCCCAAGAGAATGGAGGAGATGCAGCATGGCCATCCCCCCAGGGGTTGATTTTTCACGTTCCCATCCTGTCTCTCTCCAGCAAGCACATGTGCCTTGTGGCAAAAACCTAAACTGAACAAACAACAAAAAACACCAGTCTGGATCAGGGGTCACCACAATTTTTCTTTAAAAGGACAGACAGTAAATATTTTAGGTTTTGCAGGCTTCAGCTCTGCCCCTATAGCCCCAAAACAGCTATAAACAATAGTAAACAGTGAATGAAGGAGGTGTGGCTGCATTACAATGAGCTTTATTTAGAAAAACAGCAATGGCCATATTTTGCTGCTCCCTGCCATCAAGAATAAAGGAAATGCACATAAGATACTTATTCTTCAATAATTCACACATCTACTCAATAAATTTTTATCTGATACCTATTTGCTGAAGTAACTGTGAATAAGCAAACAGGTTGTTCTTCTGAATCTGTCATCCTTCAGATCATTTATGAGGTATCCAAGGAGAAACTCTTCCCTTAAAGCTTTTCATTGAAAAGTTCTCTACATTTTCCTCTGTGGCAAAATTTTTCCCTGGAAGATCAAAGGGTTCCTCAGTCTTGAGGAGTTTTAAAGAGCTCTACGAGATGTCTTGTGTGGTAAGTCTGGGAGGGCCTAGTATTCCTTGTGGGATCATTTTTCTTTTATATCTTTACAGAGACTTCCTTTTTTTGATTAATTACTATTTACAACGAAGGTTCTTAAACTTGAGCAGACACCAGAATTCCCTGGTGGGCTTGTTAATACAAAGATTGCTGGGCCCCATTATTTAGTAATTTCTGATTCAGTGAGCTTAACAAATTGCTGGTGCTGCTGGTCTGGTGGCCCTGATTTAAAACCTCAAATCTTTTTTTTTCTTTTTTTTTTTAAGAATTATTTTATCTAACTTTATTTATTTTAATTTGACCAGAGAGGGACAGAGCGAGAGAGAGAGAGAGGAAAAGTGAGAAAAAGCAGGCTGAGAGCTCCAGGAGGACTCAAACCACAGTTGGCCATGGGAGTCCAGCACTCCTTACCACACCACCTGCCAGCCCCAAAACCTCAATCTTAACCATCCTACAAATCTGTGCTATGCAGAATACAGAATCTAACACCAACGCCTCCATGATTTCCCTGCTTTCTGCTCTGCTGTTCTTGTACTCCCTTGAGTGGGCATTTTTATACTATAAGAGAGGTAGCAAATCCCTCTTAGAATCCAGAACGCCAACTTTAGTTCTGACTCTCTTCTCTCAACGACGAGTAAAATACTTCCTGCTGCTTGCCATCATGTTGCAGTTTCCAGCCTATGGGTTCATTTCTTTTCAGAGAGCTAGGTCTGTCTCTTATTAGCATCACCCTTCTTGAACCTTAATCAGAACTGTATGACAAAACCAGGCAAGGAGACGATTGGGATGGTGGAAAGAAGTTCACATCACAAAGGCAGGACACTTTAAGGCACCTCACTTTTGAACACATGGAACTGGACAGGTTAGATTTAAGTGCTAATAACTCTCAAGACAGCATTATAATTTAAATTGATACTATTGATTTCTCCCTAACACTACAGACAAACTGAGGTAATAAAGATAATTTCAAAGCACAGAACACTCTGGCAAAAATAATAGCCCAAGTGAGATGCCAGGAGAAAGTGGGCTAGATTGAGCTATGCAGTCAACTGAGAGGTAGACTCAGAAAGAGGGCATGGAAGACAAACTTACCTGAGACAAAGGTGGATGCAGCACTGGCCAAGCTCTTACAACCTGGGCATCAGGTTAGTGTTTCATTACTGTTCAAACTAGACAGATGCATACGGACAGCTCTCGGAGCTCAACTTAAGGGGGTTCTCTGAAAAACTGGGCTTTGAGGCGCTAAACAGTGGGGCAGTGGTAACATAACACTGTGAGGCTGACCCACATGATGTGTCCACAATCCGGGTGGCTGAGGCTGGGGGTGGTGGGTTATGGTGTGAGGACCTTGTTGAGTGCTTGTTTCTCTCAGTTTTTTTTTAATGTCCTTTGAGTTACAGTAAATACATAGTAAACAACTCAGACACAAATAAGATAGGAAGGGACCTAAGTTTATTTTCAAACAAGAGTCATTTGAAGTTCATTTTTCACCCGTATGACAAAGAACACCTGTGGACTCACTGGGCCTCTACATGTCCTGTCTGCAAGGAAAAGAAGGCCTGTTCTAGAACTTTAGTTCTAAAGGGTCAATCTGAGGTTCTTCCATGAGGAGTGGTTGCAGCTACTCCAGTTAAGTCCTTCCTAGAAAGCACTAGTCAAACTGGATCTCCAATTCAGACTTTTCCCCAAAGGGGTCCAAAAGGAGAGACGAGATGAAACATGAAGACTACTTCTCCTGAAGTAGAAGGAAGAAATTAAACCATCATGAAATCTAATCAGAGGGCAAAACAAATAGACAAAAACCCCTCCAAGTCCAAAACTCTGCAATCCATGAAACAGGGATCTCCTCCCAGAGATGCAGCTCCTCCAGGTAGAGCTGAGTCCTTTAAAAGGACCAGGAGAGAGGAATGGGCAAAGAGCCTGGCTATTTAAAAGACTTCTTTCCTAAGTGGGACCTTTGATGTTTGTCAAGGCTTGAGCTCCAGCTGAAACTTTTCCCGCAACGGGAACATTTATAGGGTTTCTCTCCTGTGTGAACTCTCTGATGTCTATTAAAGTTTGATCTTTGAATAAAACTTTTCTCACAGTTGGGACATTTATAGGGCTTTTCTCCCGTGTGGATTTTCTCATGGTGACGCAACCCTGAAAAGTCACTAAAGCCTTTCCCACAGTAATCGCATTTACAGGGCTTCTCTCCTGTGTGAGTTCTCTGATGTTTCACCAAGTCTGAACTCCGCAGAAAGGTCTTTTTGCAGGTAGGACACTGAAAGTATGTTTCTCCGGTGTGAGTTCTTTGGTGAAAAACAAGCTGAGAATTCCTATAAAAGGTTTTCCCACACTCTCTGCAGGTGGGGCGTTTTTGGGCCATGGGGGCTCTTGACTGGCCCTTCTGGGAGGCTTTTCTCTTCTCCTCAAGCCACAGAGCAAACAGTTCTCCTGGATCAGGATTAGGCAAGGGCTGACTTAGTTGTTTCCCACAAGTCCTTTCTTGAGGAGAGAGCTGACCCCCTATACTCTCACTCTGAAGGTTTTCCAGAACCTCAGGGGGAGTCTCTCCTTCCTCAAAGCATCCTGGCTCATCTTCTCTGAAGAAACCCCTCAAAGAAGCCTCAGCAGGTGGCTCTCCTGAGGCTTGACAGGAGGCATCCAGGAGTTCCTGGTCCCTGTGATTTTCCAAGTTCAGATTTTCTTTGTCGTTTTCTTGTCTATCTCCTGAAAGAAGATTGAAATGATTCAATAAGTGCTATGTCCTGTTTTCTAGCTCATATGTGAAGAGGTCATAATAAAACATTCCTTCTTTTTACCAAGATGGCATCAATGAGTGAGGAAGAAAACTATCATCCAGGCTGAATGCCCATGGTTCACTTCGCCTGCATTGGGCTCAAGACCAAGAATTTCTGAGTAACACAGGAAGGCTCATACAGGGTCTTTCTGACTCCTCCATAATTAACCAGCATACACTTTTCTTTCTTGTTTTTTTTTTTTTTTTTTTATTGCTAGATAGCACATGTACTTGCCAGATGTAAACAGAGACACAGAAGAGGGAGAAAGAAAGCAACCCCAAAGGGACATAGTCACACCACAATCTCTTCTCCATCTGTCCATCCTGTCTGGATTTTGGCCATTCAAACACACAATCTGTATGTTTTTTCAGGCTGTCAGGGCTGGGATTCAAACCACTTTCAGCCATGTGGGATCTGGCTCCTTTAACTACTAGGCTATGGGGTCAGCACAGGCAGCATGCATTTCTTCTTTTTTTTTTTTTTTTTTAAGAATTTTGCTATAGGGTATATGCACTCACTGAAGAGAGACAAAGAGAGATACCAAGAGGGAAAGTAAGAAATCATATCCTGAGAGGGTAGCCACGCAGCAATCCCTTCTCCTTCACTCTCCTTCTGGGATTTTGGGCACACACGCACACACGCCTGGAGTGATTTCCAAGTTGGAAGATCCAGCTTGAACTGTGGACAGCCATGTGGGAGTCCAGTGCCTTAATCACCACGCCACCTGCTGCCACATGGCATCCATTTCTTAAGACCCAGGGAAAACAAGTATGTTATATATAAGTATCACTTTTAAAAGTGATTTTTATCTGAAAAAAAACACATATGTATAAATATGATCACAAAAAAGACTTGGAGAAAAAATATACAGAAGAAAACAAATCAACCTCAATCATATTAGCTAGGGATGCTATGAGCTAACATTGTATTCCAGTCTTTTTTATTTAATCTATATGTATGCATATATATGCTGTTTTCCAACACAACTAATAAATACCATGTATATATATACACACACATATATACATCATATTACATAAGTTGTAAATGGTATACTCAATTTAACATAGATTCTCCCATTTACGAGTAACGCTAAAACCCATGAAATGTGTTCTGCATCATCTTACTATGGTGGGAATGCAGGGCTGCAGTATAGAAGTGAATCCTGGGCTCAGCCACAGTGATATGTGTTCTAAGATGCTGTGCTCCATGGGCTAGGGCACCATGGGAGTCCTAGGTTTGAGTTATAGTCAGAAAAAGGCCTGGAGTGGTGGCATGTGTCTGTGATCTCAGCAACCTGGGGAAGATGAGACAGGAGGATCATGAGCGTGAGGCTGGTCTGGGCAAGAGAAAGACCCTATCTAATAAATAAGCCAGCACAGAAATGTACTCCTGTAATCCCAGCTAATAGGCTGAGGCAGGAAGAGCAACATGACAACATCCTATATAAAACTGGGAGGGGGAGACAGCAGGTGTAGTAGTAGTTATGGCCCTGGACTTCTACGTGGTAGATCGCCGTTCAAGTCCCAGACCTGGCAGCTTAAAATTCACACCGGGTGTGCGTGTCTGTGTGCCCAAAATCCTGATTGGAGAATGAGGAGAGACGGGATTGTGGTCCTAGGGGGTGTTTTCTCGCTTTCTATCTCTCTGACTCTCTGCCAAGCACAAATACCCTGTAACAAAAAATCTCTCTCTCTCAGAGGACCAGCATGTGGCGTGCTGGTTAAGGGCAATGGACTCCCACATGGCCAACCACGGTTTGAGTCCCGGACCTGATGGCTTGCTTTCTCACTTTCCCTGTCTCTCTCTCACTGGATTTGTCCCTCTCTAATCAAATTAAATAAATGAATAAATTTTTAAAAATCTCTCTCTCTCAAAAAAAAGGTAAATCCCTTGGTCTATGCATGAATCCAGTTTTACATGCACTCTATTAACTCACGTAAGTAGTTGAAATTTTGGTTTTCTCATCAAAACTTAGGTTTTTGGTTATTACTACTTGATGTGTATTATAAAGACTATTCTAGTAGCTGGATATCCTCAACTCTTATAAATTATCTCTGTAGATCTAAAAATGTTACTTACCTTTTTCTTTCACATATTAGTGTCTTTCCAATTATCTGCCAGAGATCTGGTCATCTATTAGAGAATTAGACCTAAACTTGTTCATGCACAAAGCATTGAAAGATATTTCTCTCAAATGGCAAAGGTGCTTTCTCTTGTCTTTAAAGAAGTCTTTATAAATATCATTTTATTTTTTATTTTTTGGAGAGGTTTTTGCTATAGAGCGCATGCGCTCTCAGAAAGACAGAGATACAAAAAGCGAGAAATCACCCCCCCAGGGAGGATGGCCATGCTGCAACCCCTTCTCCTCCATTCTCCTTTCAGGATCTTGGGCACGCCCGCACATGCGCCCAGTGTGAGTTTAAGCCACCAGGTCCAGGACTCGAACTGCGGTCGACTACATGGGAGTCCTGCAACATAGTCATTACATCAACTGCTGGTCCCAAGGTTCTTGACATCTGCAGTCAACCCAATTTCCAGAATCACTCTGCCAATCTCTAGCATGTGAAGCTGAGGGGAGGTATTTAAGTACTTAACTTTTCTTTTTATACAGAATTATTTATTTAATTCCATTTATTATTATTTTTTAATTTGACCAAAGAGAGAGAAAGAAAGGGAAAGAAAAAAAGCAAGCCACCAGGTCTGGGGTTTGAGCTGCAGTTGGCCATGTGGGAATCCAGTGTCTTTAATCACCACACCACCTGCCAGTCTCAGGTTTTGTTTTGTTTTGTTTTTTTATACAGCTACTTAGATTGATGGAAGATGGTTTTCATTTTTAAAAAATTTAGTTCCTTAGTTATGAAAGAATAAATCTCTTTTTCATATTTGTGAGCTACTTTTCATACTCCAAGACTGTTGTCCATTTTTACAAAGAACATCATTTTTCCTATTAACTCATTTTAATTCCTTCTGTATTAAGAAAAATAAAAATTTATCTGTCATGTTCATGAAAGATGTTTTTCATGATTTAGTTATCCTAATTTTATTTGAACTTATTTTTATGTATAGAAATTATGGGGGCAGGGACCAGCAGTTAGCGTAATGGCTATGTCGCTGAACTCCCATGTAGCTGACCGTGGTTTGAGTCCCGGACCTGGCGGCTTAAACTCATACCAGGCGCGTGTGCGTGCGTGCCCAAGATCCTGAAAGGAGAATGGAGGAGAAGGGATTGTGGCATGGCCATCCCCCCTGGGGGGGTGATTTCTCGCTTTCTGTCTCTTTGTCTCTGTCTGTCTGGCGAGCGCATGCACCCTATAGCACACACACACAAAAAAAACTTTTCCAAGAAATTATGGAGGCACAGGGGCCAGCACATGGCATGGTGGGTAAGGTGCTGGACTCCCACATACATGGCTGACTGTGATTGGAGTCCCAGACTCGGTGGTCTGAAACTCACCTCAGGTACGTGTGCATGTATGCTCAGAATCCTGAGAGGAAAATAGATGAGATGGGAATGCGGTGTAGCCATACCCCTGGAGGGGTGATTTCTCACATTCTCTGTCTCTTGTCTCTCTGGTAAGTGCACCCACCCTATGGCAAAAACCACCCTCATAAAATTATGGGTTTCTTCCTTCTTAAAAATATTCAAACCTATTTATCTTTTCCTTAGTGATTTCTTCCATTGTTTCTATACGTATTTAAAAATACTTTTCCTTTTATTTGTAAGAGACCACTTGTGCACGCACATGAGAGTGAGAGAAAGGTACAGAGATGAGCATCCTCCACAGGTCTGGTCACGACGCAATCCCCACCCTCAAGTCCTCCAGCCCCTAAATCTTGAATACTTCTGGCCAAGACCAGAAGATCAGAAATGGCTCTGGATCAGTGAAAAATCACTCACCTATGCAGGTGAGTCTTGGAATCTTCTCGCTGATGTGAAGATGCAATCCTGCCAGCTCTTCTCCATACTCTGTTGAATTAGTCAAGTTGGGTTTGGAATTGGAAATGCCTGATACAGAGAGAGATGAGCATGTGAGCCGGGATGAGTGAGTGGGAAAGACTGGGACCTCGAAGGAGGAAACACAAAGGCTCTGGAGACCACGTAGAGAAACTCATCTCAGAGCAGTGTGCGGCACTGGTGAAGACATCACTGCTCAAAGATGACTGGGGCATGTGGTGAGGGCCACAAACAGGTATCTGGGCAAGTGACCAGAAAGGTCTGCAAACCACCTGGCAGGAAGTGCACGGACCCTGACTGGACCCCATCAGTGGTTGGTTAAGACAGTGTACTTTTGTGGGACCAGCAGTTAGCGTAATGGCTATGTTGCCGGACTCCCATGCAGTTGACTGTGTTTGCATCCCGGACCCAGTGGCTTAAAACTCAGGCCGGGCACGGGTGGGTGCGTGCCCAAGATCCCGAGAGGAGAATGGATTGTGGTGTGGCCATCCCCGCTGGGGGGTGATTTCTCGCTTTCTGTTTCTCTGTCTCTCTGTGTCTGTCTATATATATATAGTGTAGTTTTGTAAAAATGAGAACAGACTCAGCCAGCCACAATTGAGTCCCACATTACTTCGGCACTTTTGGGCCCTGGAACAGCAGGCAAGGGTGTGATCTGACAATTTCATCACCTTTGCAAGGGAAATACCACCACCCATTTCACAGACCATATGTAATGCACTCGGGAGGGTTCCCAGCACACTGCGTGCTTTCTGTATTCAAGAGTAAGTTCTTACTGTAACTCCATCTCTAATTCACTCCAATTCAATTGTGTCACTAATGATCTCCTGTACCCTAGAACTTTCAGTTAAGCAGATGTCTATGAAGGCATAGAATACCTAACCGTCTTCCGGTCGTTCTCTCTTCCTCCATCAGGCTAACCCTAATCCAGACCCTCACCTCCTGAGACCATCTTCCCATAGGTCTCCAGCATGAGATCCCAGTACTGCTCCTTTTGAGTGGAATCCAGGTGTCTCCACTGCTCCTGCTGGGGGTGGGGGGAGGAGGGAAATAAAATACTGTGACTGCAATTAAGTTTTTTGAGTCTGCCTCCCATGTCTGTAAGAAAGCTAAGGAGAAAGGAATATGGCCAACAGAAGAGCTAAGGAACCATGGGAGGGCCACGCAGTGGCACAGTGGTGCACAAGTGGGCCACAGGAAAGGTCCTGAGCTCAAATCCTGGAACCTCCCGGTACACACCGGGCATGTACATGTGCCCATGCCCACGACATGGCTGAGGCTAGGACGGACTCACAGTATCAAACCCTGTTCTGGGTGCCTGTCACCAATCATTGAGTGTCTCTCTCTCTCCCTCTTCTTCCTTTCTATTCTTCTTCCCTCCGCTGCTCCTCCTGTCTCTGTCTCTCTTTCTCAGAAGAAATAAATGAATAAACTTTAAGAAAAAAATCATAAGAGTGTGGCTTCAAGGGATGAAGGGGCCAAGGGGGAAAAAACCTCAACATCTGTATTTTTTCCCGGCCTCAGTCGTTTCTCAGAACACGCTCCATCACCTGGTTCTTAGAACTCAGATTGCGCAGTGGTCACGTCATCAGTGGCCAGGGCTCCCTACACTCCCTCATCTAGCCTCACTGATGCCCTTCGCTCCTCATCCCAACATGCTGGGTTCCCAGCCCCATTTCTCCTGCCACATTTTCATAGTTCTCTCAGGCTCACAATGGGGTCTGATCATATAAGAAAAATACTGTGGGCTCATCTGAGGCCTGCACTGGGGACCCAGGAATATCTCACCTTACTATACCTCCTAAACCCCTGATGCAATCTCCCCACCTAGCATCAAGGCCCTTGTCCCAACATCAGTATTTTTGGTTCTGTTTAGAAATATTTAGGCAGGGGACCAGCAGATGGCATAATGGTTACTCACTGAACTTCCTACATCATCGACCCCAGTTTGAGTCCTAGACCCAGTGGCTTAAAACTCACGCTGGGGTTGTAGGCATGCATGCCCTAAGTCCCAAGGGGAAAATGGAAGAGAAGGGATTGGATGGCCATCTCCCATGGGGGTGATTTCTCTGTCTATCTCTATCTCTCTAGTGCCCTATAGCAAAAATCTCTCTAGAAGAAAAAGAAAAAGAAAGGAGGAAAATATTTTGGCAGAACCAACAGATGACGTAGCAATTATGTTGCTGGACTCCCACGTGGCCAACCGTGGTTCGAGTCCCAGACCTGGTGGCTTCAAAATCATGCCAGGTGCTTGTGTGTGCATGCCCAAGATCTCCAGGAGGAGAATGGAAGAGAAGGGATTGCAGATTTCCCTTTCTCTGTATCTGTCTGTCTGTGTCTCTCTCTGGTAAGCTCATGTGCCCTGAGTTAGCAAAAACCTCTAAAAGAAGAAAATATTTAGCTTTGGAGCCAGCAGGTGGCATGATGATCAAGGTGCTAGACTCCTAAGTGGTCATCCACGGTTCTAGTCCAGACCTGGCAACTTGAAAATCATGCCAGAAACATGTGCATCCATGCCTAAAATCCCAAGGAGAATGAAGGAGAAGGGACTGCGGTGCAGCCATCCCCCGGTGGTGATTTCTCACTTTCCCTCTCTCTCTCTCTCTCTCCAGGGAGTTTATGTGCCCTGTGGCTAAAATCTAAAAAAATAAGAAAAGAAAGAACATATTTAGGCTTTAAGTTCTATACTTCCAGGTACTTAGGAGTAGAAAACATACGAAAGGCATGAACCTTTTCCACAATGTACTTTTTTTTTTAACTCTTTCTAGTGCTTGTAACGGAGGAGGGGAAGTCTTTGAACAGTAAAGGTGTGATATTCCCACTATTTAACTAAGATCTGGACATGTATAAGGGAAAAGAGAAGAAATAAAAAGGAATTTGTTGGAAGAATCAACAAGAAAGACAAGTGCACCATCAGTCTCACCCTGAAACAAAGATGTGGGTCCAGAGAAGATCAAGAAGTTGCGATCTTACACACTTGCAATCTCCCCACCGTTCTGCACTTAAGGTCTAACATTATATCCACTTTCTTTCAGTTAGTGAGAAACTGATGGATTATCTGGAGCAAGGTGTCCCACTAACACTCCCAAAAGCATTAATTTCCTGAAGAATGAACAGAGAGGAGATTCAAAACTAGGAATGCCCTCTAGCTAGGAATTCAAATTTCAATGTTCCTACCAAGAGGCCATTAGAAACTCAGATTGTATAGCACAATGATTAGCAGCCCCTTCTGTGGAGGTAGATGTATGGGGTTTCAAGTTTCAGCCTGTCACTTTCTAGCTGTGTGATCCTGAGATAGAAGTAACCTTCTGGAGCCAGTCCTCACACAATGACGGTACTAAACTCAAAAAATCACTGGGGAACCAGATGGTGGTGCAATGGTAACAGAGTGGGACCAACATGGGAAAGGTCTGAGTGCACATGCTGGGATCTCCCTGAGCACACTGGGCATGCGCGTGCCTGTGATCCAAGCTGGCTGAGACTGAGGCTGCATGTCAGTGTGGAGACCCCATTGGGGGTGCCTATCTCTTTGTCATGAAAGAAATAAATCAGCTTAAGGGGAAAAAAGGAATAGTATAAAAAAAAAAAAATTGGGAGACCAGCAGTTAGCATAATGGCTATGTCGCTGGACTCCCATGTAGTCAACCGCAGTTCGAGTCCCAGACCCAGTGACTTAAACTCACGCTGGTCACATGCGCATGCGTACCCAAGATCTCAAGAGGAGAAGGGGTTGTGGCGTGGCCATCCCCCCTGGGGGGTGATTTCTCACTTTCTGTCTCTCTGTCTCTCTCTCTCTTTCTGGCAAGCACACTCACCCTATGGCAAAAACCTCTCCAAAAAAAAAAAAAAAAAATTGGTAACTTGGGGTCCGCAGGTGGCATGGGGTTAGGGTGGTAGGTCCCATATAGCTGACTGCACAGCTTGAGTCCTGGACGCAGTAGCTTGGAAATCATGCTGAGACTGTGTGCATGTGTGCCCCAAATTCCAAAAAAAATGATGGAGAAGGGACTACAGTGTGGCCATCCCCCCCCCGGATGGCAACTTGCTCTCTTTTTCCTGCACATTTCCTATAGCAAAACAACCAAAAAACATCACTGAGAGAAATAATAAGGTGCCACTTGTTTTCACAGCAGACTATACTTTCATTCACAGCATTTATCACAGTCCGTTAAATGTTTACATGTCTATGTGCAGATATGAACACACACGTGAGTATGTGGTTAACTGCGACCTCTACTAGCAGGTAAGCTCCATGCGGCCAGGACTCTGTCCTACTCTCACTGTGCTTCCCCAGGCCCAGAGACCTTGCTCCAGACGTGATACGTGTCGTGAGGGTAAAACAATGCTCTCAGCAAACAAGTCCGCAGTAAATGATATATATTACTACTACCATATGCACTCTCCTAGGCTCACCCTCCCAGGTTTGCAGAGAGAATTTCTGCACCCTTTCAGAACCCCCAAACTTGATAGCCAGGTATTATGTCATAAATAGCCAGGCCATAGGAAACAGAAATAGGGCAATTCTGGAGTCATGTCCCCTTGACACAAAACATTACCCAGGGAAGGCACCCTCAGCCCTAAATAAGGCTGCCCCTTAGCACTTCAAAGAGAAGTAGAAATGGCTCAAGGGAAAAGGAGACACCAAGAAGTCTTTAATTAAGGCCTAGTCATAGAGGTGCACACTACTAAGATGCTGTGCTGCTCAGGTGGCACCACATGAGAAGCCAGGTTCGATTCCCTTTCCAACCTCAACGCTGGGTATAGTCACATATACTTGGAATCTCAGTAACTTGGGAGGTTGAAACAGAAGCACTGGCCTGGCCAACAGAGTAAAAGCCTGTCTGAGAAAGAGATGGGGGACAGACATTGTGCTGTGGTAAAGCACAACGTTCTACAAGGCTGGACTTCACCGGAAGGCTCTATGTTCATGTCTGGAGATCTCTCTAAGTATACTGGACATGTGCATACCTGTGGTCTGGGGCTGGCTAAGGCTGAGAGGAGATAGATCACAGTGACAGCTGTCTGTCCATCTCTCTATCCTCTTTGTCTCTCTTGATCACGGAAGAAATATATAAGCTTTAAAAAAGAAAAAAAAAAAGAAAAAGCTCCAGCAGGGTGGCACATGCCTACAGTCTTGGCTGGAGACTGAGGCAGGAAGATCACAACATGGTGAGACTCTTTCTTAAAAATATGGAGAGTTTGGACCAGCAGTTAGTGTAATGGCCATGTTGTTGGACTCCCATGTAGTTGACCGCGGTTCGAGTCCTGGACCCAGTGGCTTAAACTCACGCTGGGCGCGTGTGTATGCGTACCCAAGATACCAAGAGAATGGAGGACAAAGGATTGCTGTGTGGCCATTCCCCCTGGGGGGTGGTTTCTCACTTTCTGTCTCTCTGTCTCTGTCTTTCTGGTGAGCGTACATGCCCTATAGCAAAAACCTCTCAAAAAACAAACAAACAAAAAATATATATATATGGTTATTCATAGAGCTTTAGACTTTCCTATAAATGACAGTATCTAAGTTATTCATAAAAATCACTCTTGATAATTCTTCTGAACATAAGCAGCTAACCTAAAACTGAAGATATTTGTGTGACATGAATAGCCTATGTTTTAAAAATTAAAATTTTTTAAGATATTTTTGCTAAAAGGTGAGTGCACTTGCCAGAGACACAGATGGAGAGACAGAAAGGGAGAAATCAAGCCCTAGGTGCAGCGGACACGAGGACTCCAAGATGGCGTCAGTCGTACCAGTGAAGGAGAAGAAACTCATGGATGTCAAACTTGGGGAGCTGCCAAGCTGGATACTGATGCGGGATTTTACCCCTACAGGCATTGCTAGAGCATCTCTGAGAGGTCACTGCCAGTATTACAGCAAGTAGGTCAACGTGAAGAAAGGGGGTGTTGCGGGATTTCTACGGCGCTGGCTGCTTATGTGCTCTCCAGCTACTGCCTTTCTTACAAGGAACTCAAACAGGAGCAGCAACGCAGATACCACTGAGAGGGCCAGCGTGGAGGGAAAACACTGAACCAGACCTTCATCTCCTTGGCCTAGCATCCCTTCAAAGGAACTTGTTGAGTCCTTTCATATCCTAATCCAGAATTCACACCCAATAAAAGATGACTGGTATGTGTAAAAGAAAAAAAGAAATCACTCCCTAGAGGGGATGGCCATGGCCATGCTGCAACTCTTTCTCCTCCAATCTCCTTTCAGGATTTTGGGCACAAACATATGCACACCCAGCATGAGTTTGAAGCCACTAGGTTCAGGACTTGAACCACAGTCAACCACATGGGAGTCCAGCACCTTAACCACTATGCTATCTGCTAGCCCAAAACTTAAATATTTTATGTAATATTAAAAAACAAACAAAAAACAAAACAAAACAAATTCTTTTATCAGTGGAGAAGTTGAATTTTTTAAAGAAGAAAGGACAGGAAGCTGGAAAGCAACATCAATATACTTAACTGTATATTGAACTATTAACTAGAACCACATTTTTTTTTTAAGAGGTTTTTTGCTATAGGGCACATGCGTTCGCCAGACAGATAGAGAGAGACAGAGAGATAGAAAGCGAGAAATCACCCCCCGGGGGGATGGCCATGCCGCAATCTCTTCTCCTCCATTCTCCTCTCGGGATCTTGGGCATGTACGCACATGCACCCGGCGTGAGTTTTAAGCCGCCAGGTCCGGGACACGAACCGCAGTCGACTACATGGGAGTCCAGGACATAGCCATTACGCTAACTGCTGGTCCCTAAACCACATTTTAAGTACAAA